GACTTAAACACACCCTAGGTTTCAGAATTTGACTTAAACATACCCTGAGATCTATAAATGGACTTAAACATGCCTTGTAGCTGTTAGATTTGACAGAATCAATTGAAAGACCTTTTTACTCTTAATTACTCCTCAAATTTTCAAAGATAACCAGAGAAAAGACAAACCCAAAGAGAAATCAAAACCCTTCTTCCATTTTCCTCTTTTACCTATTCTTTGGAACAAAAATAAAAAATGTGTCRGAATCCACTTTCTTTTATCCACCCTTATTTTCTGAAGCATCTAACCTGATTATAGTTCCTTGATTCTTAATTGCAAATACACTTTGATAGTTGAAAAGCATGTGGTCAATAGTTTGCAACCAGATTGAATGGTAACCATTCAAGACACTTCCACAGTCCATTCTTTCGGCTACTAGGCTCCCTTGGCTGGGCGCCTCACCCAAACGCCATGACTTATAGCAAATATGTGCCCTTCTAGGCGACAAAAATGACAAGGCAGGCACCTTATATAATATCATTTATATTGTTGTATCTTGTTAATATGTGTGCTGACACATTTTATTATATGCTATGTATATCAGTTATACTTTGTTTTAACATTTTACTATTGAAATTTAAAAGATCAAAGGACTTTGAGGAGAGAAAAAGAAAGAAAGAAAAAAAAAATAAAGTAAGAATAGAAGTATAAAGAGGCTCTCTCTCTCTCTTTCTAATTAAACAGAACAGAAATCCCATCCTTGTTTTTTCTATTTTACTTTCCATCTTGAATATTTATCAGATAAAGTTAATAACTTTCCTTAGCTGCTAATTGATATGAAATAGCTCTATTAGATACTTATTATAATATATGTACAAGATTTTTATCTTTTAGATGTGATAATTTGCCACATTTTTAGAGGAAATTTAATGTGGCGACTAGGTGCCCCAGTGTTGCCCAGAATCACCTAGATGCCTTGATTCCGGTGTTGCATCCAAAAACTTCACCTGCAAGTTATTAGAGAGACACAATGTGCTTCATTTAATATGATATCATTTTACTTGCTTAAAATTTTGAAGTTCTGAGAAAAGATCCGATGGCTTAACTCTGAAACATGCGTTTCACTAGTCCCTCTAACTTAAAGCGAAATTTCCAAGTAAGCATCAAATAAGAGAAAAAAAAAATGCAAGCATCAAATAAGAAAAAAAAAAGTCCATTTGTCCTTAAAAAATCTCCAAAGAAGCACTAGAGCTTCTTCTCGAAACCCATTTCATGAACCTAATGGCTGATCCCTGAAAATCCATCTGGCATTGATATATATTCAACAGATGAGGAGCTTTATCTTAGTACTTAATCAGAAATCTTCAAGAAGTCCTTCTCAACTAGTTTCAAAACTGAATCTATGTTGGCATCCTCAACTAGACCTTTTGATGGCAACATCTGAATAACAGGAAGAGACCTTTTGAAGCTGAACTTTGATGGCAGCTCCCTTGGAAACCCTGGGAGAGCCGGAATAGGGGGAGTATTCCGGAATCACAATGGGGAAATTGTGGCCTTGTACTCAGGACCAATTGGGTATGGAGACTTAGTTCAGGCAGAGACAATAGCATTCCTACAAGGCCTGAAATTAGCAGAACAATTAGAAGCTAGAGAATTGGAGGTGGAGGGGGGACTCACTTCTGGCTATTGCTTGGGCTAAGCAAGTAAACTCAGCACCATGGAAGTACAGATTTGCATTCAGTGAGATCGGTTCTCTTGTTAAAAGATTTAACTCCACTTTTGGATGGGTTAAAAGGACAGGGAATGGACTGGCAGATACTCTAGCAAAACAGGGAATTCATAGACCTACTCCATTTTGGGCTAAATTGTAGCTGGCTGTATCACAATAGTGGGATGTTGATCTACATAATCTGGGCTTATTTGTATATTGTAATACTCTGGAGTGCAGAGTAGATAAAGAAACTGTAATCTGTTTTTCAATTTAATAAAAAGCTAAATTTTCTTTTGCTGATAAAAAAAAAAGCATCTGAATAATAGGAAATACAGGAATAGCCCTCTTCTTCAAGCTACAAGAGAAAACGTCTGGGCTATTGACAATAAAAAAAAAG